GGTATCAATATCGCTAATGGCCTGAGGCATCTTCACGGGCGCCGTATTATACATAAAGATTTGGTAATTATAAATGTACAGAAACAATATTATTATTATATGCTAGAACTTTCTATAATAATTGGCAATTTTATTATTACTTAGTCTTCACGTAATATATTGATTCATGCCGGCGTGGCGAAGATAACAGATTTTGGTTTGTCCGATCTGATTTTACAACAAAAAAGCCATTCAAACATTAAAGGAACCTTTCCATATCTTGACCCCAGATGCTTGTTTGACCCTTCTACTAAGCGTGATGAAAAATCAGATATATTTAGCTTTGGAGTGGTATTATGGGAAATCTCTGGCGGAAAGAAACCATGTGATGGGCTCCAGTATCATAATGACATTCTAAATTATAGATATAGACTAAATGGATATCAAGACACTCCGATTTCAGGAACTCCCTCAGCATATATCACAATATATTCAGAATGTTGGGATAATGTTCCTGAGAAAAGACCATCTTGTGGACAGATTTCTGATAGATTAAGCATAATAAGTCAACTAGCAACAGTTTCAAACCATTCATTTCCTGATGAGCTGTCAAGTAAATATCAAGAAGAATTATCAAAAGGAAAAAGTCAGGATCAGATTGCTAACTCAATAAAAGACTGGTTAGCACATAATGGATGGTATCAACAGAGTTATCCATCTGTTAAGAGGCTCAAGGACCATGTTGATTGTGGGCAATGTTGTTGGCTCCTTGGGTTTTTTATGAATATGGAATAACAGTTGGAAAGGATCTTAATCAAGCAATCTCTGGTATGAAGTGTCAGCAGAAAAAAATGATGCTGTTGCACAAAATAGTCTTGGGTATGGGTATTGGAGTAGAAAAAGATGATATAGATAAGAAGGCAGTTGAATTATTTGAGAAAGCAGTTGAACAAGGAAATACTTTTGCACAAAATAATCTTGGTTATTGCTATCTATATGGAATTGGATTAGAGAAAGATGCTAAGAAAGCAGTTGAATTATATGAAAAAGCAGCTGAACAAGGAAATGCTGCTGCACAAAATATTTTTGGTCATTCCTATCAACATGGAATTGGAGTAGAGAAAGATGCTAAGAAGGCAATTGAATTATATAAAAAAGCAATTGAACAAGGAAATTCTGATGCACAATATAATCTTGGTTATTGCTATGAAAATGGAATTGGAGTAGAGAAAGATGCTAAGAAGGCAGTTGAATTATATGAAACAGCTGTTGAACAAGGAAATGATGCTGCACAATATAATCTTGGTTGTTACTATAAAAATGGAATTGGAGTGAAGAAAGATGTTAAGAAGGCAGTTGAATTATATGAAATGGCAGTTGAACAAGGAAATGCTCATGCACAAAATAATCTTGGTTATTGCTATGAAAATGGAATTGGAGTGAAGAAAGATATTAAGAAGGCAGTTGAATTATATAAAAAAGCAGCTGAACAAGAAATGCTGCTGCACAGAGCTCGGATGACATGGCCTCTTCCACTCCTTCTTTTGCCTCCTCTGCATCTTTATTAGACATCTCTTGATTTTTTTGGCACCCACAAATTCAAAATCCTGTCTTAAAGACTATTATGATAAAAAAGAGAGCATAAAAATTGGTTTTCACAGTAGTCACAAGTCACTTTCATATTATGCTTTAATGTTGTATGGAACTAATGACATAATCTTGCATTTTTACTGAAACTTTGTCATTTAGTGTGCTAATTGATATTATGAAGTGTATTATAATAATCATGTAATTCTTGTTGCCATGCTGTTTATTTATATTTACTAATAGTGATGGGTCAAATGTTATTTAAAGTATGTAAGCTCATGTATTATAAATTAAAAATTGTCATTTACTTTTCAGAGCAAGCCTATTATTATAGAGAAAAAAAGATAGGTTGACTATTATTGTATTATTCTAGAATATGGGACTTGACTTGGTTGAAATAAACCATTTGGACACTACTACAACCCACACAATTGATTGTATTCTGTCTATTCTATTCAACAGAATAAGTATGTTTCACTGAGAGTGTTGGCATAAGAATTTATTATCAATTGGTAATTTAGTAAATATTGTAATATATAATGGCATGATCTATGAAAATGGGCAGTTTCAATAATAGGTATGTCTAGTAGACTCTTTCGTCAGTTATGTGATGGATAAACCGTGTTTATTGAGTGTTAAGAGTTCGTTGTTTTAAGGACTTATTTGTAAGTTGTCACATGTGCACAATTGGAGTAGCGACAAAGGTTTGTTTCGTTGTATGCTTAACGTTTAAATGACGTTTTGTGTTCGCGCTTTGGGTGAGAAAAGACATGTGCAACGAAGACAAGCGTCTTGGTATGTATGTATATGAGAAGACGCGTGTTCGCGTGTTAGATGACAAAAGATGACACATATTGGCATTACTTGATATCATTAATTGTTGTGTACGCAACCTTATAAGTATAAAATATTTTCTTTGTTGATTGCAATATTTTTATTAAACTTTGTAGTGTTAAAAAATTAATGATGTTTATAAAAACACTTTTACTATCTTCCAGGCATGATGATAGATGGTATTCCGCACGTTGTCCTTAGAATTATTCTTTTTCACCTCTACAACAAGGCTGCAAATAGAATCCCAAAGTCTCTTTGCATTTGGGACGCTTCTCCGGATAATACTGCTCAGCAAGTTTTTTGTATTCATCTGGCGCCGAATCAGGCATCGATGGTCACAGTCCACCAATAACACTTTATCAAATTGCCTGTCTCTAAAAGGTGGCAACCAAATATCATAATACTAAAACAATAAATGTCCGATTTCTGAGTAAATTTGCGCGCATGGAAAACTTACGGGTAAACCGCCTCGAATGCTTGAATTTTCGAAAGAGACCAGTCATGAGATCACGTATATCAATCCTGCATCGTGAATTACGCAGCTGATCGCTCCCGATATTAATATGTCGAAATATGGTGTCAAAATAGTAAAACAGTAGTTAGACATATAAACAGTTGTAGTTTTCTGCTCTGAACAGTGTCTTCAGTGTTTCCAGAATCTTCAGCATATTTGATTCTATTTGTCCTTATAATTTTTATAATTAGAATAGTTCTTTGAATTCTAATAAATCTGTAATTAATATAGTTGATATTCCCTGGTAAGTTTTATCGAATTGCTGATTAAGGGTAAAACGCTTTCTCGATTGGCGGTTAATAAGCTTGATCTTGCCATTGAACTTATCGGAATTTAGGCATTAGAATTATTATTCAATTGTGTTGAACGCGTTATTATTATTGAAGACTTCCCCAACCGATAGATCCATTAGAGAATGTTACCAACTTGCTTGTTGTGAACGACTGCATTTATTGGATAGCTATACAAAACGGTGCTCCGAAATTAGGGAAACTTATTATTCAAATGTCTAAGCTTCAAACCAATTTTATTGATTAAAAAATTTAAACTGTAACGTTTGTTCTGCATCGTCTGCTCTATTGTTCTTATGGATTAGTTTTTCTCTACACCCTCTAATACAAATCCTTGGCATTTTGAAAGTTGGGATAATTTATTTCGACCTATATGATGATCTGCACCATAGAATCTTTTGTTATCAGTTATGATGGAGGTTTTCTAAAACAAATAAAAGATTTAGAAAAAGTCTAGTAGCAGAGGGAAAAAAAGTAGAACATGTCGGGTCTTTTGCTTATTAAAGGCAAGAGAATTGGCATTTTGTTCCTTTTTTCACTTTCTCTTTTTTTGGAGTAAATTATCTTTCTCGTTTTTTAGTTCAGCTTAAATCACTTTCTCTTTATCTCTTTTTGAAGGGAATATATTCGAGCATCACGTGGAAGGACAATATCATGAAGCATGTCCTCCTAACAAATTTACGTTTCCAAGGTAATGGATTTTATTTATTTAACCAGTTTCATACTGCATCAGTACATATGTAATTTAAGCCTCCAAAGTCTAAGAGGTTGGCATTATTAACCACTCGTGTCTTAACGCTTCATCTGCAGTCGGTCGTTTATTAGGATTTTCGTGCGTCAGCTTATCCCGAAACTGTTGAGCGGATGGAAATATGTGGATATGATCACAAATTCTAGAATCATTCAAAAGGTTTCCAACCATCCAGATATCTCCTGCAGTGTTGCAAAAATCTTGTCCGCCTTTATATTCTGGCGCTGCAACACTGAATGCAGTTCTTTGTAATGAATGGCAACAATTATCAATTTTGTCTAATCAATACTAAGTTTGGTATTAGTTTATTTTACCTTGAATCTCCTATCCGAGCGACTTCTTCAAAGTCAATTAACATCCAACTCCCATCCAAGAGCCTTACAATATTGTCCCGGCGTATATCTCGGTGGACAACATTCATCTTATGGAGTTTTTCCACTGCTACAAGCACGTCCCGTATAGCATCTCGCAGCTCGTCTTCATTAATAGGAATAGCCATATAGCCAACTGGGGTTAATGTTAATAACACCGAGTGTCTATTAAGCACATAGTCAATGAGACTGGGTTTTTCTAAATATGGAAGCTTTTCGTGGTAAAATTCGTAATAAAAATCTTCATCAGCAATGCAATGGTGTGTTGATATACCTTTTTAATGATGTTTTGAGGGAGTAATGTAATAGTGCCACTTGGCCGTTGAATCTCAACAAACAGCTTTAGTTTTGGAACATTAATGCACTGATTTTGAGCCAATGTCTGAATAATCCGAATAAAATTTATGGTGTACTGAAGTAC